AATTGAGCTAATGAATGTGAATATAGGGGTGGGAAAAAACTGAAAATTTCTGAAAATTCTGAGTCAGAATTTTTTTAATATAAAAAAATAAACTTTTGAAATTACCGTAAACACTCTATTAGAACGCCACCCGAATCATCGTCAAATTTGAGCCCATGTATCACGTTTTCTGTGAGAGATATCAAAAAGTTGTAAACAAATAAAATGTTTCTGATATCATGATAATCATTTTATCAGTTGAACACTTTTTGATATCTCTCACAGAAAATGAGATATATAGGCTCAAAGTGGACGGTCCCGGTGGCGTTCTATTAGAGTGTTTAAAAGGTTTTTGACACATTCTAAATGTTTCCTGTTCAATGTTATAACTTTTTAATAGTTCAAAAATCCATNCCTCCGAAACAAATTGCTGAGTATATGAAACCAGAGAGGGTGCTATGATCACGAAAAGGCGTCATGCGCCTTGACGCACTTTGCGTTTTGAGCGGAAGTTTGAAATTCAGTAATTTTTGAGTTCTGGCGATTTTTTTTAATAGTTCTCTTCTGACATTTAGTTCCCGAATAATTTGGTTCAAATTTCGAAATCTTCAGCGGTGCATAGTCCCAAAAATCGATAGTTGATTCAAACTGTCTGTTTGAACTCGAATATGTTTTCTCCATGCTTGCACCGCCCGTTGTTATTGGTCTCTCAGTTATTCTTCATTATTGAGTGGCATAATGACCTCCTTCTGCCACGTCACCCACCTCTTTCCCATAATCTTGCCCTCCTCCTTCTCTCTTCGCCTCAGCTGCCTCTTCTAATGCACGCCTGGCACTATGCCAAACCACGCCCCTTTCTCCGCAACGATCACGCGGGCAACGGCGCGAAGACGGAGAATTCAAATAGACACGGCAACTGACAAAGCCGGCTGTTCCATCGCGTGATGGTCATCATTCGCGGCTGCCGTCTTATAAACAAAGAACAGTTAACAGTGCCGAAATACCATTTATTGAAGGATTGCGATTCAGAATCACCAAAAATACAACAGAATGGATAAAAAAATTTTGGGGGAGTTTTACAAAAGAGCGATGGAACAGAATTTGAAAGCGGCACATTATGTGAATCGAGAAATTTTTTTGGTCTTTTGGACAGTGTGTTCAAGAGAAAGCTGTGTTTGAGGAAGTAATGAGATCTAACTAAGCTTCAACTTGAGGGCACATGCCAGTTAAGAAATGGGGACAAAGAGAGAATAAATGATTGAGTTGGGATGGATAGATTGAACGTTGAGTATCATTCGTTTCAGAACACAGGGGCTAATGTAGGAGGCAGCACGACATCAGCCTAATGGTTCTTCTTGTAGTTGGCGATATCAGTTTCGTATCTCTTCTATCGTCAGCGGCTTTCTTCTCCCACTTCTGTAAAACATATATGGTTTCTAAGATACTAAATACTGTTTCTCAACATACCGATTTGTCAGTGAGTTTTCCCCATTCGACTCCAGCGGCCTTGGCAACGTCAGCGACTCCCATTCCTGGCTTCTTGATGCGCTCACGGTTCTCCTGCATCCAGAAGAAGAAAGCGGACATGGCGCGCTTTGGAGCATTTGGGTCCTTGTTCTTTCCTCCCTTCTTGACCTTCTTCACTGGGGAAGCCTTGGCGGCAGCAGCTTTAGCCATCGTTAGTTGGTTTGGTTGTAAGTTTCTGAAAATGTAATGTATAAGGGTAAGAAGGGTAGAAGAATATGAAGAAAAAGAAGTGGTAAGATAGGAGAAGAAGAAGAAGGCAGCCATTGTGGATGGCTGCGAAGCGAGCGAATGAAGAGAGGGGCGGGTAGAAAGACAGCACTAGGCCTCTTGCCAGGGTCGTCCTTCTTCAGTGTACGTCTCTATGTGTGTGTGCGAATGAGGGGAAGGCGATTGAGCGAGTGAGGAGAAATGTATGTCTGTTGGCCACAGCAAGGCCTCCTCAATGCGTATGTATGTGCGATAGAAAGAAAGGGGAGTGTAGTGACGACTGCTGCTGTGACTGCTGCCTTGGCGTGACAACGCAGAGCCGCAACGCGTTGCGAATGCAAAGCGGTCGAAAACGCGACTGCTGAACAACCAACACACTGAGAAAAAGAAGAAAGAAGGGAAGGCAACGCACACTGACTACTGCTGTCCATGAATGACTTCTTTGGTCGATAGGAAGGCTTGAGGATATGCGAATGAAGAGATCTCTGACTGAGACGAGAGAAATAACTAACTATAAGAACCATCACGAAACTGGCCATGGCTAGAGAGCTAAAAAATTTCTATGTAGGATCGCATTACGGTAGAGCGAAAGTCATATTTGTGGGTAAAGCGCCTACAGTATACTAAAGTGAAAAAAATCTCTTGCTGACAAAATTACGGTATCTGCCTGGATCTAATATCCAAAAAAAACTAGGTATCGATCGAAACAGAGTTCGTTAGTGACCGAATGAAGAATGAATCGTTTTTGATCTGTTGTTAGTAAGGGTGGTTGGTAAAGGCTGTCTGGCTGTGGGGCAGGCCAAGAGAAACGAGGCGCACGCATATTTTCGCGAATGATGGCGAGTGCTGAACACACTGCCCCGCGATCGATAGGCGAGTGGCAAACAACTCGTTTTCGTTCGCGTCTTTCCCTTCTTCCTACTGACTGGCCAAGATGCAAGATGAAGAAAACGAGCGGGTAGTGTTGGGTGGGTCTATTGGGACCTGGCAGATGAGAAGGAAAGGAATAAGGATTGCCCTGAGAAGAACCAAAAGAAAGAGAAGAGTACAGCATCATAGAGTAGTGATGAATGAATCCGTTGACATCTACAGAGGGTCTTTTATACCTCAATCTGGTGGATGGGTGGAGCAACTGTTGCCTAGTAATGTGGGCGTGTCTTAGACTCCAACACTTAGACTGTCTAAGAGGGTGGTAGAATCCCCTGAGAACTCAGCATCAGAATACAATAGGGTAACAACGTGACAATGAAAACATAAGGCAGGATAGGTGGTAATGGGGCTACGGTAGCCCGGGCTAAGGGTTCAAAATAGAAGAACCTCAGAAAAGGGATGATGGATAAAATGGTAGCGATAGCAAGTTACCAGTTGTCAACTCGATAATCGTCACGCACCATATAAAATAACTCCAACGAACATGATGAAATTGCTAAGACAGTTTCTTGAATCTCGAATCAAGAGATTCTCGATAGTTTTGATTATTCACTGACTCCTCGTTTAACGATCGGAAGGGGCTCATTTTTCCAGCGATCATATTAAAAAGACGTTCTCGCTGAAAGGAGCTTCTTTGTGTACAAAACTTATGATAGAACCTATTCGAGATTAGACTTGTAACTTTGAAACACTCTGAAATTCTGTTTCGGCTCCGAACTATGTGAAGGCATGATCAGACCGCATCATTCCAGAACCCTTTTCCCATACAACGAGGTGAACAAAAGTCTGTGTAACAAATCTAGAAGAAGAACTTTTCAAAACTACTGTTCGAAATATAGATACTGTTTCCCAGTGATGCTGGAACCTGGGCTATTCCCGATGAAATCCTTTCAATACTTTTCTCACTCTTGATATTCAGGGATCAAATTAGAACGCAGGTGCGACTAGCATCTGGCGACTTGGCATCCTGCCAAGGATCGTAACATCTGCTTCGTTCTAAGATCTACTCTACCCCCTCTCATGCATACTAGTGACGTCAGCACGAATAGCGACCTTTCTCCGTAGGAAACCATCTCACGGCCCACCACATTCGAACAATAATGGTGCTGTATGGTGTAGTACCTTCATCAACACCACCACCACCTCTCCCACCATTCAATCGCATTGCAAACAACGACGCGAACGAAGGCTGCAGCAGGAGGGTTATTCTTTCTCTTCAATGCGACTGACGGGTGCATTGTGAGTGCTACGTCTAACGCGAATGAATAGGTTTGCCCGTTTGTTTCTGTTTCTTCTATTACATGACAGAAACGGCGGCAAGATAAGAGAGTAGGTGGAATGGTATAATAACTATAGGAGAGAAGATGGTAAAAATGGCAGAATTTCAGAATGGGTACAGAACAGTGAATCGACGTTTACAAGAGAGAAAGATTCGAGAATTTCGAATTAATCGAATCAGAAACATCGTATTTTTGCAAAACAACTTTGGTATACTGGAAGTGATAGTTACACGAAAAACGTTTTTGTCTCGATTATTTTTCAAAGAAGTACCAGAAGTCGGATATAAGAAGGATCATAGGAGACTAAACAAATACTACATATTTAGTACTCCATTTTGTACTAGCAGTGTGAGAAAATTATAAAAAGCAGCAATACATATAATTCCCAACTAACATCGAAGTTAAAAACATAAAAATGAGTATCGATACATTATGCGCGAAGAGTAAAAACTGGAAAACAAAGTCTGAAAAAGAAAAAAATCGGCAACACCGAAACAAAACGACGAATGACTGAAATAGGCCAACCGCGCTCTCACCTACCGTAATCCTTAAAGGCGCGTAGTGTTTCAGCGCCAGGTCTCACCGCGATTAACTAAAGGTGCACAAAGTGTCGCGTTTGTACGTTTTTTTTGTAAATTGATTTTTCTAAATTTGAAGTCAGCAGCTTCTGTTCTGGCACTTTTATCGAAAAACCACCTCAAAAAATCGGACACATAAGGCAAATCATTATTTGAAACTCTGTGTTACCAAATTCACATCATCAGCTGAGTTTTTTTTTCTATTCCAGATTGTCGAAGAAATTTTGTCGATTTGGGAAACGATTTTCATTTCTAGTTGATCGAATTTTTTGTAGTATTTATTTGGCAGATGTGTTGCATTCTTAAGATAATCTGCTCACAGATTGTTCTCATCACTGGCGACATATAGTTCCATAGAATCGTTTTCCAAATCTAAACTACTCTGTTCGGATTCTCGAGCAGTTTTTTCTCCACCTGACTCCAACTCTCACTCAGAACACGACAGGAACTTATTCATGATTTTCGATTTCATCTTGTAAACTAAAATCCTGCCCTTTGTTTCAGAGATTCATAAGTTCGTGCCGATGTTTTTTCTGACACCTTTTACATCTATATTTCTGAAAATTATAGAATTTGAAGAACGATGATTTCTGCAAGTAGTATTCCTTCATCAATTTTTGGGAAGCTTGTCCAATGAATCGATTTATTCAGATTTCAGACGCTGTCATTCTCTCGAATCAAAAATACCGTCTCGCTCACATTAGCCCATCGAGGAGGTGAGCTTGTGGTTCAATCATTGGAGGGTCCGCGCTGCTACCAGCTAAGCTAAGCGCTCGCTGCCCGGAAAATTCCGGAAGTCGTCAGAGCTCCTTAAATTTTTCTCATTTTATTGCACTTTGAACGCAAAAATATAAGAATTTTAAGATCAAATGCAGTTCTTTTTTGAATCTTTCCTGCGCGGGTGTTTAATCGATCGTTTCCCGATTTCTTCTTGTCTACTCTTCTCCAAGCAGCACATGCTACTTTCACTCTGTTGTTGGAAAAACTCGATTCTCTCACTTTCTTTCTATGTCTGCCGCAGTGTTTAACGTAGACTGCGTATCCGGATTTTGTGCGATATTTTCACTCAACGCTCCTCTCTCGCTCTCTCTCTCTCTCTTGCACTTGCCAGTATGCACGTTTCATTGAATTTCTCTGCTTTCTTTTTTGAAGTCTCTTCATATTACGATTTATATTATCACTCTAATCTCCGAGCTCGTTTAATTGGGTGGTCTCCCGTGTTTTATAACTTTTTAGGTGTTCTCGCTTGTATTTTATTTGTTTAGTGACTATTCTAGATGTGCGGATTTTATAGAGCTATTTGAAAGCAAATGAGACAAAATGGTAAAGTAACACATGAGATGTAGGTAGAATAAAGGGATTGGATCTGACACTTCGTAGGCGCACCAGCTGGCAGGATAGATAACAGGTTTTGCTAATATGGAGAACTTATTTTTTCGAATCTTCTATTCAGTAATTTGAAAATGGAATTAATGAACGTCAAAAAACCCCGGAACCGTAGAAGAGAAACACCAGATTCCGAGGTCCCAGAACAGAAAAATACCGTAACCTAAAAATAATTCGAAGATTTGTTTTCGATTTTCGTCCTTGGTTTTTTCACCTTACAAGGGAATGTCGCTCAGAAAGCTCTTCAGAATTTTTCTCTAAATTTGTTCATTCATAGAATCCAGAATGGGCTTTTACGTAATAATAGTCGCTACCTGCAAAATTTGCTGAAACTCGAGAAAAATAGATCTGAAATTATAGCATTTCCACTAGTCTCATCGCATCCCTTTTCCTCCCTTTCTTCACTGCGTTGCGTGCAAGAGAAAAATATGCCTCGGTAGCTTAGGGCTAGCAGGGAGGACCACGAAAACACAGATGCAGGTTCAGACCCTCTTTCTTTTATTTTTATTTTTTTCTTTTTTTAAAGCTTAAAAAGTCCTTTTCGAGAATTTTTTTCAAATGGGAAACACTGTTTTGAACATTTTCTATGATCTGAAATGATTTTCGAATAATTTCAAAAAAAAAGTGAAACTTTATTTAAATCAATCACAGATGAAATTTTCATATGTTTTTGTACTTTTCAGTTAATTTCAAGCAATATTTGAGTAATTACTATTTTTGTAAGTTCGTGCAATAATCATATTCGGGCTTCCAAATGTTGTGAGAATGATGTTTTTATCCCACCTGAATGTTTGAAATACTTTTCTGCACTTTTGAAAAAAATTTCAAAATTCATGAAAAAAAGTGTGTGGGTGATTTTTTTCAAAAAATAATTTTTTTTTGAAATTATTCTAAAATCATTTCAGATCATAGAAAATGTTTAAACAGTGTTTCCCATTTGAAAAAATCCTCGAAAACGACTTTTTAAGTTTGAAAAAATAAGAAAAATAAAAATAAAAGAACGAGGACCCGAACCTGCATGTGTGCTTTCGTGGTCCTCCCTGCTAGCCAGAGACATGTTTTACTCTTGCACGCAATGCAGTGAAGAAAGGGGAGGAGAAGGGAGGCGATGAGACTGGTGGAAATGCTATAATTTCAGATCGATTTTTCTCGAGTTTCAGCGAGTTTTGCAGGTAGCGACTATTATTACGTAAACGCCCATTCTGGATTCTATAGATGAACAAGTTTAGAGAAAATTCTGAAGAGCTTTCTGAACGACATTCCCTTGTTAGGAAATTCAGAAAATCGTCGAAAATTTCAGTAAAATAGACAAAAAAAATTAGGAAAGTAAAACCATGTTCAGGTTACTGTAAATACAGCTGTATTTAGTTTTATCTCTTTTCCAACATCAAAAATCTAGCTGAAAAGTGTGATCGTAAATAACATTAATTATTGTTTACAAATTGTTTTTCCCATCTATCAGCTTGTTTCATTGCTTGTTCTTTGCTTTTCATTCATCTTATGTCTCCCAATCAGAGACGAACGGGATTCCGGATAATTCTAACTATTTTGAAATTTACAATTTTTATAATTGTTCACTCAACCTCAGCTACCACCTAAAATTTCGTTTAATGGAGACTAAATCACTTTTATTTGATTCTAAAACTTTAAAAAAATATTTTTTCAAAATTTTTGTTTCGTCTTCCTTCTTCCGGATCAAACTTCTCATTCCGCTCATTTCTGGTCCCGATCATTCTAACGTATAAAATCCTCTTACAAAGGTACCTTTCGGATTATACGTTATCGTGCTTTCTCGTACCTTATCCTCACCGTAAATCTTCAGATGATCTCACCTACCGCGGAGGATTATTTCCTCACAAACCAGCCGAGCACGTCCTCGGGACCACTCGTTCCAGAGAATGTTAGTGTCGCCCCTGGACCATCTGACGTCGGAATCGACTACCGAACAACGTTCACAGATGGGCGAACACCGGTGATGATATCATCAAAGTCAGTCAATAAAACATTTCAATTCACTTAAAGGTGGTGTGCGGTGAAAAATTTTATTGCTTTATTTTGTGCAGAAATTCATGTATTATTCTTGTGCAAAAAAATAGGAGTTGTGGCCGAATTTTCACACAAGTTAGGCCACCATATTTCAAGGAGAATTTTCGAAAACACAGCTGGCAAACGAGTGCTACCGTAACCCAACAATAAATATTTTCGCAAAATTTTTGTCTTATTTTTTTCCTTTTTATCGATTTTTCTCGATTTTTTCGCGGTTTTGGCCGTTTTTTCACCCAATGGTTGCACCTAACTTGAAATACGGTGGCCTAACTTGTGTGAAAATTCGGCCNCAACTCCAATTTTTTTGCGCAAGAATAATAAATTCCCATAAAATAAATACAAAATTCAAAAAAAATCCTTCATTGAGAAAAACGGCATCGAAAAGTCAAAGTAGGAACCGGTGACCTAGCAGCCAGGTGTGAGTTTTCTAGGGGTTTTTATATCCTATAGGTTTTTATACACCATGTAGGAAATTAACGAAACAACTTTGAAATCATAAAAACACATCAGAGAAAACACTGGAAATCAATAAAAATTCGAATTTCGCGCGCTTTTACCGGCAGTTGGCTTAGAAAACTCACACCTGGCGGCTAGGCCACCGGATCCCACTTTGACTTTTCGATGCCGTTTTTCTCAATGAAGGAATTTTTTTTGGAATTTTTTCTTTGTTTTTATGGGAATCTACATGGATTTCTGCACAAAGTGAAGCAATAAAATTTTTCACCGCACACCACCTTTAAATAAAGAATTTCAGACATCTCAAAAACCATCCACTACATGTACCAACTGGAACTTCTGAAGTACTGACCTTTTATCCAACAATGGAGGAATTCAAAGATTTCAAACAATACATCAAAAAAATTGAATATCATGGAGCACATTTGAAAGGCGGTGTTGCAAAAATTGTGGCTCCAGAGGGATGGACACCACGGCCTTCGAAAAGCTGTTTCTCCGACGTTAAAAGTTACGAAATCAATCAGTAAGCAGTTTATTCAGTTGGCTAATCATAACTTTCCATTTCAGACCTGTGAGGGAAACGATAGAAATTACGGAAAAACCAGGAACTTATTTCAAAAGGAACGAGACGTCACATCGTAAAATGAAGGCAGGGGAATTCGAGAAATTAGCAAAATCTGCAAAGTTCCGGAACCCAAAACCAAACCTCACAGGAATCGACATCGAGAAATATTATTTCGAAAACATACTTGAAGGTACACCAATATACGGTGCTGATACTGAAGGAAGTTTCTATGATGAAGGAATAGAAGAGTTCAACATGAACCATCTTGGAACTGTTCTAGACGATGCGAACAGCAAAATAAAAGGAGTGAATACTGTCTATTTGTATTTTGGAATGTACAAAACAACGTTTCCATGGCATGCCGAAGATATGGACTTGTACTCGATCAATTTCCTTCATTTTGGAGCTCCGAAATACTGGTTTTCCATCAGTTCAGAGCATGCTGATCGGTTTGAACGATTCATGAGCCAACAGTTTTCGGATCAAGATGGAAAGGCACCAAAGTGCAAAGCTTTCCTTCGTCATAAAACATTCATAGTGACTCCGGAACTCTTGCGAGCAGCCAAAATACCGTATGCTACAATGATTCAACGCCCCAACGAGTTCATAATAACTTTTCCACGTGGCTACCATATGGGATTCAATCTGGATTATAACCTGGCCGAGTCCACGAATTTCGCTACCGACAGATGGATCGACTATGGAAAAGACGCAGTTCTGTGCGAATGCAATAAATCATCTGTAAAAATTGATATGCACTGCTTCATGAGTCAGTATCGACAACATGAAGTCATCCCTTGGGTGGATTATTGGTATTGCCCCAAAGACGATAAGAAAGGAGTTGCAAAGAAGAGAAAAGCGCAGGAAAATCGAAGTCCTGCGAAAAGATCCAGATTGGGAGTGTCTTCTTGCTCGGATAGTTTGGAATCCGTGGCAGAGGTGTCTTCCTTCATGCGATCTCTACCTGGTTACACAATGGATCGAGTCGAGTTCAGACCTGACTATGATGAACTGCTCAAGCTACAAAATAAAAAAGGTGAATTTTTAATGGTATAAAAATATAGTCGGTTCTTTTTTCAGTGTCCTTTGAACTCCGATCCAATAATCGTGTGAATTTTTTCTTGGAACGTAGATACAACGAGCTCAGGAGTGTTGAATGGCCGCACTGTTCAGTTTGTCAATATTTCCAACCGATTCATATGACGACAAGAAATGCCGAGCTTCCTGTTATGTAAGTTTCATCCGACTTTGAAATTTTTAGAAAAAAATGTAGCTTTATTTCCGAAGAAAAACCAAATCAGAAAACAATAATGAAGATTTCTTTTCAGGTCTCGCCGGTTGATACCTTCGTCAGTTTTTTCAAAAACACCCGAGCTTACCGATCCGGAAAAAGAAGAAACAGATCGATTGCTAACATGCTCAAATTGCAATGTTACAGTACACTCGAAATGCTGCTCGGGAGATCACCCAAATGAAAATGAGCAATGGAGATGCCTTCGCTGTAGGAATCACACAGATGTCGAAATTAGATTGGCATCCTGTCAGCTTTGTCAGTATCGAGGAGGAGCTCTCATTCCGTGTCAAATCGGAAAAGATTCCACATGGGCGCATGTGGAGTGTGCACTTTTCAACAGACGAACTGTATTTGATCGTCCTATCGGTCCAACCGCTTGCTTTGTTGAACCAAGTCCACGTCAACACTCTATAACTGCTTCTATGCCAAACATCGATGAAGAATACCGAAACGAATATGGAGACCTGTATGAGCACTCTCGATGGAATTGCGTCGTATGCAAACGGATTGGCGAAGGTCTTGTTCCATGTGTGCATTGCCATGAGGAGGTTGAAAACACGGCGATTGCTCCAATAGTGGCACATGTTACATGTGCTCGTCGAGTTGGATTCGTTTGCGAATTACGAGACTTTCCACGAGGAGTCGTCATGATTTGTGGGAATCACAAGGACTCTTTCCGCGAATCCAAACCAGAGACTCCCGTAGTAAAAGTGAACATAGGTGGTCAAGTGTTCTATGAAGATAAGCAATCAGCTTCTGACCGCAAAGTTTATGTACCCGGCACGATTATCACAGCAGAAAGTAAAAATACTGTTGTGGTCGACTTTTGGGACAACAGTTGCAGTCGAGATGTCCTCGCTGAAGATATCAAATCGTGTGAGTGCTTGCACTGTGAGAATGGAGCGCATCAGTATGGATCTAGAGTAAGTTATTATTACTGAAAACTATTTTGAAGGTAATTTTATAGGTCAACGTTCTATGGGACGACGGAACAGTGTACGCCTGCTACTTCCGAGGCAAGAGCCACGTGATGGAATATACGATTGATCTCGGAAACGACCGCCAAGTAAAATGCTCTCGAGACAAAATAAAAACCAAGAGAGAGTTGAATAACTTTATGAACAACCGCTTTATTGTACCCGCCTAATCTCTATATTGATATGTTCAATAATCTTGATCTCTCTCCAAATACCTTGAATTGTGAAAAGAAGATCTCAATTTATTCGAATTCCCCCATGTTAGTTTTCTTATTGTACTAACCACCCCTTATGATCCAATCATTTCCTGTTTATATTTTGAGAAACATTTTGAAAAACCCTGAATTGAATCTAGTCTTGACCTGAAATCAAATGTTTAATAATCATGATAATCAGAGCTATTTTTTAAAAATTTGTAATAAATTCCATGAATTTTTCTATTCTCATAAAACTATTCTCGCTAATCGCCTCCTTTGTCTTGTCATCTAACTCCTTATCTCTTGAGCGAATTAATGGGGGTACGACGAATTCGAACGCTTTCAAAATCGAACAGACCTAAAATCGAATTGATTCAATTCAGAACAGTCCTTTTTTCGCACACTTACCAGAATAGAACGCGGACAGAATCGAACTGTTACAAGTTCGAACTGGTAAGGAGTCGAACTGTCCCAAATTGGAACGCTGCCTGCAACAGAGCGCGCATGAAAGCACACACAAAACAGCGTTCCAATTTGGGACAG